TTTGGAAATTTGACGGTGAATTTCCTTTGTTCTTGTGTTGCCATCTGAAAAGTCTCTGCATTTTATTGTGCTTTCCTTTATTTTATGTTGTGACTCTTTTGAATTGTCTGGGATCTTTTTATTCTTGATGCCTGATAATTATTATTTTTCTTTGTTTGAGTTCAAAAGAGCCTTCAGTATACTAGGCATAATCTCCAGTGTCTGATTCTTTTCTAAGTTATCCCTAGTATATGTTTATTTTTTTTAATAAAATCTTACTATTCCAAGTACTTGGGAGAAATTCATGCTTTTTAATTTTTCTTCAATAATTCTTCGACATGTTTTTCCTCATTTCTTTTTCTGTTCTTTTGTAATGGCTTCTTTATCAGTTAAATATTGGATTTTCTGGATAGATGTCTTTACTTTTATTTTAAGGTTTTCAATTTTTTCAAGTTTGTCTCATTTTCTTTTCACCTTCTACGAGTGTTTGACCTTTTCCAACCTTATCTCGTCTGTCATTTATTTAGACCACGCTTTCTCCTTGGAGCATTTTCTCATTGCTTGCTGGGACGCCTCTCGTTACCCACCTGAAGATATTAATGAGTTTTTGTTCCTGAAGTTTCTGTTGTTGCTTTTCTCTGTGTGCTCCCACTTTGCTGTGAGTTGTTTCTCTTTTCTGCGTTGCACTTATTGTTTACTTTCCTTCTGTGTTGCTGGGTGCTGGTCCAGGGCTTCACAGCACCAGGGGGGTGCTGCCTCGGTACTGAGACAGAGGCTTTCCGCACCTAGTGGACTGTCTTGTGTATTCACTAAGAAGGTAACAGAGAAAGACTTTATAGAAAAGGTTCACTCTCTTTATTTGAGCTCATCAGCTGTGGGCTGTGTTACAGGGTTTTGTTCAGGGACCTTTAGATGTGTTATTGTCCATTGGGTACAGTTCAGTTTTTATAGAAATCTTTTTGTTTTTGTTGTTCTTAATTTTTTATTTTAAAAATTTATTTATTTTACATGCCGACTGCAGTTTCCCACTCTTCCCCCACCATCTTCCCTCTATTTCCCCTCCAATCTTCTTATTTTCTCTTCAGAAAAAGTCAGGCCTCCCATGGAAATGAACAAAACATGGCACATCAAGTTGAGTTAAGACGAAGCACCTCTCCTTGATAAGGGTGTGCAAGGCAACCCAGTAAAAGGTATATGGTCCCAAAAGCCTGTAAAAGAGTCAGAGACAGTCCCTGTTCCCACTGTTAGAAGTCCCACAAGAAGATCAAGCTATATAACTTCACACTTATGTAGCAGACTAGGTCACTCCCCATGCAAGCTCCCTGGTTGTTGGTTCAGTCTCAGTCAGTTCCTGTAAACCCAGGTTAGTTGATTCTGTGGACTTTATAGAGATCTTATTTCTGTCCAAGGATGTACACTTGACTTCGGAATTTTCACTTAACCCCTTTAACTTTTAGTTTGACATCCCTATGTCTCCCCCACTTAAAAAAAAACAACTCGTTTTTTAGACTTCAAACTCCCATCAGATACACTTTATGTCCTGCAGGGGTTGGAGAAAGCTAATCACCTGGCCAGATGGCATGAGGGGAGGGGACCTGAGACTATTTCTTGTACAGAAATTCAGTCAGTTCCTTTTTCTAGCTTTATACCTCATTGTGCCTGTGTGGTGTGTTTCACACTCCTGCTTCATTCTGATTTGGGTTGCATGAGTTGGCTTTTTTCTTGTTGGAATTTTCTGCAAGTTGCTTAGTATTCAGTTTTTGTAGTTCTAAATCCTTAATCAGTTATTTCCTAAAACTTGGTTGATTTATCTTGTCTGCTGTTCCCTGTTGTCTTCTAGTCTCTGTCTGTCTCTGTCTCTCTCTTCTCACTGTCTCTGTCTCTGTCTCTCTCTCTGTTTCTCTCTCTCTTCCCAAGATAATTTCTCTGTGTAGCCCTGGAACTCAGAGATTCACCCGCTTCTGCCTCCGGAGTGCTGGGATTAAAGGTGTGCACCACCATCATTTAGGTGTCTTCTAGTTTCTTCATCCTTGTGAACTTACTTTTTTATTCTTTTACTTATGCTCCAGATTTATATATTTGTTTATTTTAGACCTGGCTGGCCTCCTACTTGTGGAAATCCTCCTGCCCCATCTCCCGTATGCTGGGATTACAGGTATGCTTGACACTTCAGTATTTTTTAAATAAGAATATAAAATCCTGGCGATTCAGTATTTTCTAACTGAGAGTATTCAAGACCTAATAAGAAGTCATTTTAACTTAAATACTTCTTTGAGGAAAAGAAAAGTTGTATGTTTTTGTTTTTTGGCACATGGTTGCACTATGCAACCCTGGGTGGTCTGATGACCTGAAACTTATTATGCAGACCAGGTTGGTCTTGACCTCACAGAGCTCTGCCTGTCTCTGCCTCCTGAGCACTAGTTTTCAAAACTGTGTGCTACTACACATGTCTAAGGTGAAAGTAACAGAGAAAAAAGGAAGAAAAAGCCAAGAAGCAGAAAAGTATTATCACCCTTGAATTGGGTATATATTTTATATATTTAAAAATATATACACATACAGGGATATCTAATGTAGATGTAGTATATATGTAGATCTACAAATGGATATTATATACATACGTGTATGAAAATATGTATCTGTGTACACTGGACATACGTGTATATGTACATTTTATGAATATATGTAATTTTATAAACATTTTTAAGTGGAAAGGATCATGTTGAACTTTTATTCAGGGCTGATTTTATTCAGTTTGGAAGCTGGCTAAAGGATATTAGTGATTTACTCAAACAAAACAGTATTTTAATACATCATTTTATTTATAGTCATGATATTTAACTTGTTTTAAGTAATTACTAAAGTATATGACATTTGATCTAATTATTTCATAGGATGAATGCTATTTTTTAATGATAATGTAAGGTAACTAGTAATTATTTTATCAAGAAAGTATTGCACATGAGACTCTCAAGGCTACCTTTATAGTAATTCAAGGTTCTGATTGTCTAATTCCTGAGTATTAGGATCTGGCATCCTTTCTTTCCTCTTTTGTATACAACTATGACCATAACTATGTAGAAAGTCTTCAGAAAAAGAAGGTTATGTGTTATATTTTGAAACAATATATTTAATTATTTCAATGCTATTACTTACCTTCCGGGGAAGTGGAGTTAGGAATTCATCTTTCAGATCAGAGTAGTGATGGTGAAGTTGAAGCTGCTAGTGATGCTCACCTACCTTTAATCCCAGCACTTGGAGGCAGAGGCAAGTGGAACTCTGTGTGAGTGGCCTAGTAACAACCTGTCTAACAAACAAGCAAACCCCAAAGGAGCAAAGTCTAGACGCTGGGCTGTGGTAATGGTTAGTTTGGAGCTGCCCCACCCACCATGCAGTTTCCATCATGCAGTGCCTGCTCTGCAGATGAGGGGGCGCTTTTGATTGTTGCCGAAGACTGGGTTTATAGTTGGGTAGTTCTCTGGTATCTGGTCAGGTGGTGGTGAATTCTCATAGCTGCATTCAGTTATGCTATTATGTCTGCTTGTGCTTTGGCCTGAAAGAACTGCTCTTTTCTTTTAGGGGATGCTTCTGAACCATTCTTGCATTTTGGAAATCTTTATAAGGAACTATTTTCTTTTTGATTTTTTTTTCTTGTTTTCTCTTTACATGTTCATTTTAATTTTTATTTCTATGTACGTGTTTTCTTATAGCTCCTCCATAGATACAATATAATAATGCTGTAATAAAATGTTCTTTTCTTTTTCTTTTGCTAGCTAGCCTCTCTTTGTCTCTGTGTCGCCAAGGAGGACCTTAAACTTCTGATTCTCTTGCCCCCACCTCCCAAGTGCTGATATTCTAGGCATCACCAACACTCAGAGGTTATGCAGTCTGGAGAGCCTGCTGCCTCTTGCTTATTAGACAAGCAGTTTCTAGCTAAGCTGCATGCCAAGCCCATGCATTTATCTTTCTTTTAATAAAAAATTTCAGATATATTTCTTGAAGTAGAATTATACTGTCAAAAAAAGCATGAACATTCTTTTTACTTTGTAAATTCATTTGCTGACTGATTTTCTGAAAGACTCATACCAAGCTAGCTGTGTGGAAAGAGCTGGCTGCCTTCCCAGTAACCATCAACTTTGCTACTTGAGTTCGCGTTTCTTTCTTCAGTTTCAGAAGTGAAATGAATGATAATAGTGCATTGTTTCATCTCATACTTCCATAATGACTGATGAGCTCTTCCCTTTGAAATATCTAGAACTCAGGGCCTGTGGAAATGGCTCAGAGGATCTGGGTTCAATTCCCAGCACCCACATGTAACTCACAACCCAGTCCCAAGGAATCTAATACCATCTTTGGACTCCATGGGCACTGCCTTCATGTAGTAAACAGACATATATTCAGGCAAACACTTATACACATATAATAGAACTAAGTAAAATCTCAACAACAACAACAAAAAACCTTTAAATAGTTAGAATTCAACTTGAAAAGTATGACTACAAGAGCTAGTTCCAGGACCAGAACCAAAAGCTATGGAGAAACCCTGTCTCGAAAATTCAAAAATAAAAGTATGACACTAAGGTGCCTTTCATCTTCAGGGAGTTTAAAATGGACGACTAGATGGTTCATTACTAAGCAACTTAAGCTGTCAGAAAATTGATGTAATAACTTTCTTTAGGATTGATAATCAAAAGACATTCAAAAAAGTTGGTACAAATTCAAGTTGTTCAGAATGTGTAAAAAGTTCATTGATATACTACAAAATTGTGTTAAAGCTATTTCACACAGCTAGGAAAAAAAGCCAACCACGTTTTACTTTAAGAAGCTTTAAGATGTAGCTGGGTATGGGGGTCTGTCCCAGTAGTTCCAGCTACTCTGGCATGACAGGAAAATCAGTTGATCCAGAAGTTCACAGCCAGTTTATGGAGCATAGTTACTATTTTTATTTAAGTTTAAAAAGTTGTGTCTTGAATTTCATTTGTTGTGTTACTAAGTCAGGATTTTTTATTGTGACCTTGTAGAAATGGGGCGCCGGTCATCAGACACCGAAGAAGAAAGCAGAAGCAAGAGGAAAAAGAAACACCGCAGACGCTCCTCTTCCAGCAGCTCTTCAGACAGCAGGACGTACAGCCGCAAGAAGGGTGGGAGGAGGCCACGGTCCGAGTCCAGGTCCTGGTCTAGAGACCGGCAGCCTCGCTCACACTCTTATGAGAGAAGGTCGGTGCTCATGATTTCTGTTTATGTGGTAGAGACAGTAATGTTCTTAAGAAGTCATATTATTTTGTGTGTTTAATTTTGTTGGCTAAAATAATTTTCTTTTAGTAGTTAGTACTTAGGGCAAATCCCAATCCAGAGGTTTTCTTTTCATTTTTTGTCTAATCAGTTCAAGCATCTATATCCTTTGTATGTAAGCAAGCAAATAGAAGTTGGTGTAGTTCTTATATTATCTGATGATATGACCCATAATATCTTAAATTGTACCCAGTCTGTCTGAATCATCCTTCTGGGTGTTGGAGATCAGTAATGTTTTATGTCTTCAGTTTTCTTTCAGGAAAGAAAGAAACAACAAAAATGAGATAATTTTAGATTCCCTCTTACTGCTTACAGCCCAGACTTTGCACTGTGTGATGCTTATGGTTTCTTTCAGACGCAGACACAGGTCCAGCAGCAGCTCTTCTTATGGCTCCCGAAGAAAACGAAGTCGAAGTCGTTCCCGGGGTCGAGGGAAGTCCTATAGAGTTCAGAGGTCTCGCTCCAAAAGCAGAACAAGAAGGTATGCACGTGCTGCTGTGTAGCAGGCCCTTTCCGGATCGGTGGCTCACAGTAGCTGTCCTTCATTTTTACTTGGGTTCTACAATCTGACTGCAGCACATGGCAGCTCTACTGTTCTTTTGGACACTGCTCCTGCAGGTGTCATTATCCGATGGCTTTATTGGAACTTGATGGTTCAGTGTAAGCTCACTCAGGTGTCTTGTGTTTGTTTCTGGCTGTGGCTTCTCATTCTCTGATTGATGGTGGAAGATTTTGAAGAGGAAAGAGCAGGAATTGCAAACTCACTAGGTTTATAACTAACATGCTGTGGTATGGACTGAACATTTATGTCTTTCCAGAATTTGTTAAGGCTTCTGTCCCTGGTGTTTCTGTTTGTAGATAAGGCTGTTATAGAAGTAATGAAGGTTAAATGAGGTTATCTTGTTGGGGCCCTAGTCTGATAATGCTGTTGACCCCATCCGAAGAGGAAGTGAGGGGCTGGAGAGGTGGCTCAGCAGTTAAAAGTATAGTTCACAGCTTCCTGTAAACGCCAGCACTGAGATACCCGCACAGATGTAGCATACATGTATACAGACACATAAAGATAAGAGTGTAAACCTTAAAAAAAAAGGATAGGGGAGAAGAGATCTTTCCATTTATCCTACATAAGCTCAGAGCGTGTCATGGGAGGGCCCAGTGAGATGGCTGCCCTTTACAAGACAGAAAAGAATCTCACAGCGAACTATCTGGCACGTTGGCTACCCAAGAAAATACATTTCTTGTTTATACTGTGGCAGCCTGAATTGACCTATGTGTGCTGCATGACTCCTGCATTTTTTAGCCTCGCTCTAAGGCTGTATAGGGAATAGTGTGTTTGAGGAGTTGGACATCTTGGACAGTGAGAAAATGTGATTGAATAGAATAGGACCATAGTATTGAGGGAACTGAGGAAAACAGGTATTTGTAATTCATTGAGTTTTAGACAGTGAGTATTAGAATAAATAAAAGATAAAAACAGTGTTTTGTTGTTATTGTTGTTTTAATTAATTAATTTTACATTCCCAGTCCCAGTTCCCCCCTCTTCTCCTCCTAGTCCCTTTTCCTACCCCACTGTTTTTTTTTACCCCCAATTGACTCCTGCTTTGTTTCTATGAAGCTAATGTCTTAAAGATGGCTTCCTGTCTCTGCTTAGCTCTGTGTAGTGTTAATCTCTAACTGGGGATTCACATTAGTGTAATGGGCATCAAATATATAATTCTCTTTGCATATCAAGCTTGGTTGCATTAATGTCTAAATGTTTAGTTTTTCTGGGTTCCTGTTATTTGACATTGCCCCCCACCCCCAGCGTGTTTTATTTATTCCATGTGTAAACCACTCTGTATAATACATTTTTGTTCTAGTATATCCCCAGAGTTCCAAGGTTTTATTTTTATTCGCATATATTCTTCCAGTTTTTTGCCATCATCTCTACTTTGAAAATACTTTCTACTCTTTAATGTTCAGTTCTATATGACCTTTAATTCTTTTTATTGATTTTTGTCTTTTCTCCCCAAGTCAAATTTAACTCATCTTTTTTTTGAGCATCACTGATGTGTAACAATTACGAATATGTGATCTCAGTTTTAATTAAAATGCATGGGTATTTTTCTTGGTCTTATATCAGTTCTGCCATAGGCACTGTACTGTAATCATGGAGACTTTACAGCATATTTTAATTTTTGGTAGGTTTAGTCTCCCAATTCTTTACCTGTTCTTTCCGAGTGATTACCTGGTGACGTTTTATATGAATATAAGTTTGCTGCTAAGTCACCTAGTTCTATTATAAAAGCCTGGTATTATTTTTAGTCAGATTTTATCAAATTTACAAGCTACAGTCACTCCACACTTCTCTTATTCTAAATTCTATTTAGAGCAGAGTCTAGTTTTATTTTATTCTTATAAGGACTGTTGTATTCCTCAGAAAACAAACATTTTGTTCATTTCTTGTTAAATTTATCCCAAAGTACTTTAACCTCTTATTGCTATTATACATGGGGATAGATAGGATATGTAACTATTTGTTATTTTATATATGAAATCTATGGAATTCATACTAATCTTATATCCTATGCCACTCAATTCTTTTACTGTTCCAGTTCCTGTGTGTCTCTCTAGGGCTTGTGTATAAATAGAAATAGTTCTGCATTTCTAATTCTCATCCTTTTCTTTCTTTCTGTTATCTGATTGTATTGCTTTTAACTTCTAGGCTAATACGGAACAGCATTGGAAAGGATATAATTTTTTTCTGTGACTTTATTGAAAAAATGTCTATTTCCTGTCGTTAGGCTTATAACATGCACATTTTTCTATTTTAAGAGAGTGCCCATCACCCTTTCTCCACTAGAAATGGGTTTTGAGTGTTGAATTTTCTTGAAGCTTTTTTATCTAGAAATGATTCCCCCAGGTCTCTTGAGGAACCAATGTTGCTTTTTCTGGAGTAAACCTCAGTTGATCTAGATTTGTTTTTTCGTGTGGTAGAAGAGTTTGGTCTCTTTTTTACTTTGTATTTTACGTTGATATTTATATGTGATATTTGTCTTTTCTTTACTACTTTTATTAAATCTAGCAACTATATTCTTTGCCATTTCTTCACAAAGAGAACTCAGAAATTTTTCTTCATTTTCAATACCCAGGAATAATTTTGGGTCATTGGGACTCTTTCCTTGAAGCTTTTGTAGACTGATGAAACCCTCTAGGACCAGTGCCATCACAATAACTTTCTTCATTTCTGTAACAGAAATTGTACAGCTTGGATTTTATTTCATATGACCTACTTTTGATAAACTTTTCTTGTTTAGTGCATTATCCATTTCATATAGATTTTAGAATACGTGCCTAGAGATGCAGCGATGCACAGCCAGGCACTGGCTGAGCTCCTGGAGCTGAGCTGGAGACAGGGAGGAGGGATTTTATGAGCAGAATTGGAGGTCAAGATCATGACTGGGAAAACTACAGCGACAGCTGACCCCCACCTAGGGAGAGCTCACGGACCCTGGACTGACAGCTGGGGATACTGTATGGGACCCAACTAGGCCCTCTGATTGTGGGTGACAATTTTTTGGCTTGATCTGTTGGGGGAGCCCCTGGCAGTGGTAACAGGACTTACCCTAGGTGTATGAACTGGCTTTTTGTAGCCAATTCCCTGTGGGGAAACCTTGCTCAGTCTTGGTACATGGGGAGGGGGTCTTGGTCCTGCCTCAACTTGGTATACCAGACTTTGCTGATGCCCCAAGGGAGGCCTAACCTCCTCTGAGGAGTGGATGAGGGGTGGGATAGGGGAAGGTGGGAGGGTAAGAGGGGGAGGGAGGGGGACCTGGGGCTAGTATGTAAAATTTAAGAATTTTTAAATAAAAATAATAAATAAATGCCTAGAAGTCTACAAAATACCCCATGAAGATTCTAGGCTTTTCTGCTATTTCAGTGCTTATTTTTTTCCTTTTGTCTTTCATTAATTTCTTTATTATAACTTTTTTTCCTGTTTGAATTATCTGGTAGATTACCAGGCATGATTAGTGCATGCATGTAATCCCAGCATGAAGGAGGCAGAAGTCATCCTCAGCTTCAGCAAGTTTGAGACCAGCTTGGGCTGCACAGACCTTGCTTCAAAAGACAACCACATTAAACAATAGATTTTGATTAATTATGGCTTCTGCTTTTCTGTTTTCTAAATTATTGATTATTGCTTTTATTTGTATTTCTCATTCTGTACTTCATTTTTATTTAGTTATTGTTCTAATTAAAAATAAATTTGTGTGTGTATGCATGAGCACGCTCATGCTGTGGCATGTGTGTGGAGGTCAGAGAACAGCGTAGGGGCTGATTGCTTCATTCCACCTAATGGCTTCCAGAGATTGAATGCAGGTGTGGCTCTGAGCACCTCTCCCCACTGACCATCTCCCCAGCCCTTTTGTTTCCTACCTCTTGAGCAGAACTTCTACTGATAAAAGTGTTTAAGGCTATACATTTTCCTGAAACCACTGCTTCAATTATATTTAATAGACTTTTCTCCCCCAAGATATTAAAATTTTCAAGTGTATAGCCAAGTTGATAATATAATTTTATATTGAATACTGATATATTCACTACCTAGACATTTACATTAGCTTTCTACTTGACTTATTAAATACCTACTCATTTTTCCCTCTCTGCCCATTAAGTCATCATAAAGTTTGAATCCATTGTTTCAGACATCAGTATATATTCCCTTTAAATATTTTAGTATCTAATTACAGAGTTTAATATTTTACAAATTTTTCTTTTGAAAAGATACTTTAAAACATGTGGTAAAATTCATAAGTATTAAAATGTACAGTTCTAAGCATACATTTGCTGAGCTTGACAAAGGCACATACCCTTTAAAATAATAGACCTTTATCATTTTCTGATAGTTCACTCGTAACTTTTCTTAAATCCTGCTTGCCAAGTGAACTGGAGCCACAGTCTTTGTTTTTTTGTGAGTAGATTAGTTTCACATGCTTGCAGTCATAAACAATGTACATTTTTGTTAAGGCCTCTTATTAACCATAGTACCTTTGAGATTTATTTACTTTATATATGTTGATAATTATGTCTTTCTGTTGTTGAATCTATTACATTTTATTGGAGAATTTTGTGTCAATGTAATCATACGGTAGTGATATTCTGCATGTGCCTTCTAATCAGCTTAATGTTTTCATTTCTTTTTTTTTTTTTTTTGATTTTTCTAGACAAGGTTTCTATGTGGTTTTGGAGCCTGTCCTGGAACTAGCTCTTGTAGACCAGGCTGGTCTCGAACTCACAGAGATCCGCCTCCCTCTGCCTCCCGAGTGCTGGGATTAAAGGCGTGCGCCACCACCGCCCGGCTCTAATGTTTTCATTTCTATATCAGTACCTGTTACTTTTATTGTTGAATGATAAATATATCATAGTTTATTCACACATATACTCATGTATACAATTTATGAATACTATACTAAAAGTTGTATTCATTATTGAAAATGGGGT